TATTAACTTTGGGCTAATTTTCCCATGGTGTAGCATATCCTTCTTATAAAAGACCAGTTCAAAAGCCCGTCATATTCAATTCGGCCCGTCTAGCAAATGGACACACCAAAAAAATACTATTTATTTGGGCCTACATACATATGATGTTTATCATGTCATAATATTCTATTCATATTGGCATAACGGGTGGGCTAATATTTTGACAGCTTTGAACAGCGATTGCAAAATTTTAAGCTTAAACAATTAATTAATTACTAATCATTTGATTATTAATTGGATAACATAATATGTATATATATATATATCATATGCTTGATTTAGTGTTTTTTTTTTCACATTGATTTAGGGTTACCTTGTTAAATAAATGAATCTATTTGTTGCACTTGTCAATAAAACCGGGTCGTCTTTTCAGTAAAGGCACTATTGCTATTGGCTTCCTCATGTGAAAGCATAATAAACTATGCTACCCAAAAATGGTTAGGCATGTCGGATCAATAATAAAACTTTTTCCCCACTTTACAGCTAACTATACAAACAAAAGTTAGTGTAAAAGTAAAATTGAGTTATAAGAAAATAATTTATTTAGATATATATATCAGTTGAAAGATTAGAAATTACAATGAATATAACATGTCAAGGAATATGACCTATTAATTTAACTCTCGTTTGAACCAAAAATGTGGCAAAAATGACCCTGTTTTCTATATTAAAATGGTCAAGATGCATGGATTTAGATCCAAGAATAAAATAAAATGAATTATAATTTACAATTATCACAAAATTAATTTTAGCTATTAAAAAACATGTTCGTCTAGAACAATTATGATACTATATATCCACACATTCCCTATTAATATATATCAGTACAATATCCGTGTATTACACGGGTGTTGAATTAAAAAACTTTTGCAAAATTTTTATTTTTTTTTAAACTAAAATAATTTAATTTTATATAAAACATTAATATGGATTTTAATTAAATTGTCAAATTATATTTTTTTAATCATAATAAACACTCGTACATTAAATGAAAATGTCAACCCATGTTGAATTTTTTACTTATATCATATAAAAATATCGATGTTATTTACTATTACATAAGTACAAAAATATATATCTTAAATAAATAGAAATAATATGGTGATATGTATATGCATAAGTGTAGAATATGTTTATTTAATATTAAATAAAATAGATTAATTTTTTACTTAATTAGATGTTTAATACATCAAGTGTCGTATCAGTCGTGCTTCACAGTTTTTAACTTTATATATAATTTTAAAATTTATATAAATAATTATTTATTTTTATTACATTGATAACATACCAATTAGATTTGAAATAAATATCATTGTTTAAAGAATACATTCCAATTTTTATTATTTTATAATATAATTTGTAGTTTTATTTGATATAATTTAATTTAGTTTGAAAAATAAATTTAAATTTTATTTATAAGGATATATATTATTGTTTTGTATTATATATATATATATATATATATATATATATATATATATAGTAAAATACAAACAGACTTCATAATATCAATTCAAATGCAACAAACTAATTAAGATTTTTTTTCTTGACAATATTAACCCTATTTAATGGATGTTATGGGAAACTATGGAGATGGAATATGAAGAGACACTGTGTATTAGATGGAGGGTTAAAAATGGAAAAATATGAACAAAATATCTAAAACGACATTTATTTTATTAATGATCAATTAAGCCAAAAGTGACAAATAATAAAAATTAGAGGGAATATATATTATTATATATTTTAGTATGACACATTTTATTTGAGCGACTTATATGCGTTATATTATAATAAATTTTCTACCTTATAACATATAACTACATTAAACATAAATATATTAATTGATAATGATTTTATTTTCTAATTAATTTTAATAAATAATTTTTTTATTATTATAAAGATAAATATAATTTATTTATTTTATATATACAATATGGATGCCAAATCGAAGCTCATCAAAAGATGATTAATTTGATATATTATATATGTAAAAGCGATAAGAAATACAAAAGTTATCAACTTTTAAAATATATTTTCAATTCAATGGTTATAATAGGAAACAATACTAAAATATAATTAGTATAAATATTAATTTATATCCAAGTCTAACTCCAAAGCATGGTTTTTTGCCAAATAGGATTTCGAAGCGTGAGAGTTTGCCACGTAAACTCAGCGCATTCTGAAATTATATACAAAAATAGAAGGGATTTGAATATATAATAGCATATATGATAACATATATTATAACCATAATTTCTTCACGATTTGGACACGACTTAATATGTACACTAACGAGTAAACACACCAAAATCCCCAATCTGAACACTTAGGGGGCAATTGTTTATAAATTGTATAGTAAAAAAATCAATTGAAACTCAAATTTGACTCAACTTTAACTCAACTTACTATCTCTAATATTATCAATATAATTAAATAATATCAACTAATCATTCTTACACATCACATCAACTTTAATTCACTATTCATCCACTCACATAATTTTAACTAACTATTACTTCCAATCATTTTCTCCTAACTTTACATCAAATCAACTTTAATTATTTTATTTTAAATATTATTTTAATATATCCACTAACAACTAACCATACAACCTTTTTTCAAACTTAACTATAGTTAAAAAAAAAAACTAATTTTTTACTAGTTGAATTCATATCCAATCACCCCTACATGCAACTTAGAACTCACACAACCAAATAAAAGGAACTATAATTTCAAACATAAATAAAATCAAAGCCTCAAGGACAAATCAAGTTGGCTAAGTTCTTCTCCTTGATGATCAACACTAATAATCTCACCTTCATTATATCCACCGCTAATCAAATCAACAAGGCAATAATTCAAATCAATACCCGCTGGTCCATGGGCCCGAACCCATAAATCAGGCCCAATTTCGTCGCCCGAGCCGGCCCATCGCCTCGAACACAACTGAGGCCCAACAAGTGAGCTCAACTCTCTACTTTTCCTTGCTAAGGTTCTCTCCAGTTTGTGAGCATTTTGATGACCGCCAAGCGCTTGAGAGCTGTAAAATTTTCTTCCGCAGTAATTACAAGAGAACACCCTTTGCTCGACCGGGCTCAATGGCGTCGAAAACGGGTCGGGCACGAGGTTAATCGGGTTTATAATATTATATTTCTTGCTTTTTCTTGATGATGATGAGTAAATATTCATGGCTGAATGTTGTTATATATATTGAGCTTAAATTTGGCTTTTTCTTGGAGGGGTTTGAAAAGTTGGTGAAAAATTAAAGAGTGGAGATAGGTTTTTGAGGAGGCTAAAGGTTGATTTTATTTATAGTCAAAAAACACACACACACTACACACAGTGGGGGAAGTAAATTAAAGAGTTAAATAAATGGTGAAAAAAAATAATAATCCATGAAAGAGAGAGAGAGATGAGAAAGGAATCAAAGGGATTTGTCTCCTCCATTAATGGCAGCAGAAGCACCTTGTCGATTATCGGTTCGGAAAATAATTTATGAGAGGCACCTAATGAAAAACACAAATATCATATATTTATTTATTTTGTTTTTTAAAGTATAGAATTTTTGTTTAAGAATATGCATATATGTTGGAATAAAAATTTGTCACTCTAAATTAACCTTTATGTGGTCTTCATTCCAGATGATCTAATTTTATTTTTCAAATTTCAGATTTTAAGCTTACAATATTAAGCAAAAAATAAAAAAAATAAAAAATTGACGAGAAATAGGCAGTACACTTATCGCATTCTTATTTTCTAGGACAAAAAAATCAACTCAATATATATTTTTTGTAACTTCTTTCATTTTCAATAATATTAGTTTGTGAGTGTAGATATGGAGATGAAGTCCAATTAATCACTACTATGTTTTTGCTTTACTCTTTCTTTATCACCTTAGGACAAAGGGAGATGGCAAGTTAAACACTCATTACTAATCTATCATTATATAAAAAGAATAACTTTTTTACAAATTTAGAAATTTTTTCCCGCCAAAATCATTAAATATATCTATATATAGTAATTGTTGGACAAATCTGAATAGGCAAAAAAATCGGCTCATTAATTGTGTAAATATTTATTTCTCTTTTTCCTGTTTTTTAGTTTATGAAAACCGTTGTTTGACAATAAATATTTGTTTTTCTTTTTCTTATTTTTTGTATAAAACTACACGAGTTACAAAATCCCATTGCTTATCTCTTCTGTTACAAAATCTCATTGCATACGTCTCACGTGTTTAAAAAATATCATCCCTTATTTATAAAGATTTGAAAAAATAAAATAAAATAGAAATCAATTCATAATTACTACTAGAAATCCATTATCTTTAAAAAGAAAAAAGAAAATAAAATATAAATCAATTCATAATTACTACTAGAAATCCATTATCTACTTTAAGAAGCTAATTCATCGGTCTAATTACTAATATTTTTACAAATATTATAAGCTAACCATACAAAAAAGTATAATAATAATTTTGAAATGGTGTGTAATCAAATTTTTTTATATTCCCTTATACAAAATAATTTTACATTGTTTGACTCCGAATCTTTAATTTATAATTATTAAGTATTGTTTATCCTCCTCTTTAAGTTATAATTATTTTTTTTCTTTCTCTTTTTAAATAGGATCAATAGTAGTTTCCACTTCCGCCATTGAATGACTCAAACTCGATGTCTATTTATAATATTGTTCTCGTGCATCGCACGGGGTACACACTAGTTGAAGTTAAAGATGGACATTGGATAAGCCTCCTTGACTAGGTCAAATTGGTCAATTAAAAATGCACCCTAATATTAACAAAATTAAATTAACATGCTATAAAAATAATAATAATAAAGTGCACTTAACTATTAGACCGCTTGACGATTGATATATATATACTAATCTATATAACTCCCCAAACTCATGTATTTTTATTTTTCTCCCAATGAAAACCAAAATTCTTACTTTTCACTATTTAAATATAAAATATAAAAACTCCCTCAAATCCACCGTGAACATATTTTGATGTATTTCATTATTACGTGTAAAATTATAGTTTTCCAATCTAACACTCATTATGTATAAAATGCTATTATCCTATCATATCTATTATTATATAATAAGGAGAAGAAAAACTATTTGAAAAACTTTGAAAAAAATATTTCATTTCCCGCTTCTTTAGTCATTCTTTCCCGCTTCTGTTTTTCGTTTTGAACAATTTTCAGCAAATATTTTTGAATTTTTTGCATATCCCGCTTAACAAATTTATTAACCAATAAATCACATCCAATATTTGGCAAGTAAATCACATCCAATATATTATTTGACAAAGTACATTCTTATACCAGTTAGACTCATTTCATTTCGTTGGGGGAGAAAAAAAAAAGAGTCCTTAGATTTTCAAAAGAAAAAGGAATAAATTATTTGATTATTAATCAAAATAAGTAATTAAAAATTATGAAATTATGTGACCTAAGTAATATGTACTTAATATAAACATAAAATCAAATATTGAATATTTAATATCATGAATGATATAAATTTAAATTTACTACTAAATAATATTTTGTTTTAACGTTAATGTCAACAAATTATTTGATTCAAACAATTTATCATTAAATATCTAATAATCAACAAATCGTGAAATCCCGTGTCATAGCACGCTACAAAAATATGACATCTATTAATATATAAAAAGACAATGATATTTACTTGAAATAGTAATTAAAAATCAATAAAAAAATATTTGGTTTTCCCGCCTAAAAATTCAGAAATACTAAATTGGGCAATTCTTTTTTCTTGCCAAAGTTTGAAAAATCCTGCCTAAGTTAATGTAATTAATGTACAAAATTATTTTGGTCAAATATTGCGGCTATTACCTTTATTAGTTGAATAATTTAAATGTGAAATATAATATATTGGCAAAACTTGCAGTTATTACCTTTATTAGTTGCATAGTTTAAATTTGGTATATAATATATTAAAAAATAAACATATTTTTACTTAAAATTAAAAAAAAAACAATTATTCATAACTTACGGGTCAATATTAACTTGGACGTGAATGAAATAGTCAATTATTTATAGTTCAATAAATTACTCAGCTACTTAATTTTTTTTATTTGATAGTTTATACAAAAATAAATTATTTTAAATAATGAAACAATATAAATTTTATATTTTTATAATTATTATTCACATATGTTGTTAAATATATGATAAAATTTTACCAAAATAATTATTTTATGTAATCACATTATATTCAAATCAAATTTCTGAATAAAAAATTTGAAATGACACTTATTTTGAAACGAATATAATGTAATTTATTATCAGTTATATGTATCGCATGGGTTGTGTACTAATTTTAAATAGACATTTTTATGTAACTATTCACAATTTCAACTTTATATAATATTTTTAACAAATTAATATAGGTATTTGATTCTATATTTTTAATTTACAAATATTATTTAATAAAAAATTTTTAATTTATAAATATTAATGAATATCTCTTACCCGTGCAGTGCACGGGACTCATACTAGTTAATACATATGTGGGTATATTAAATTGTTGTTACATTTTAAAAATATGACAAACTACACATCTACATATACATACTTTAGAATTGAAACATTGATGTATAAACATTAAATAAAAGCCTCTCTCTATAATCTATATATACATGAAGGCTGAAGCCAAAAAGCATGGGGGCACTAGGATGCTCCTTGAGCTTAGCCAAGGGACATTATCTGACAATTGGATTTTCCCATTATCTTCATTTTGCCATGATTATATTATCCAATTATATAATAAAGAGCTTAACTAATTTTCAAAATGATCAAGGAAATGTATGTCAAGAAGACAATTAACTTCGTTTTTGTTAACTTTGTTGCTTTGAAGAGGGATATAAAATTTTATTCAAGAAAATACTACTTGACAAACAAGAAATTAGGTATTGTTGGGCAAGCCTAAAGAGTAGATAATTATTCTTTTTCACTGGATAAATGAACAGTAAATGCATGCATCATTAGTATAGTCAAATCTTAATTATGCTATTTTTGCACTATCATGTGATTGCAAAATTGCTCATCTAAGTTTCTACACTTGCAAATGATGAGCTTGCAGGTGACTATGCCTGTAAATGTGTATAAACAGCAGCACATGGGACGAAGAGCAAACCGTCCACTACAAAAAGCCCATTAAAAGCAAATGGATTAATTAATTTGACTTAAAATATTCAGCTGGCATAACGTGTTGATAGTCTTTCAAGTAAACATAGTCCCAACTTTTTTCTCCGTTATTAAGTTTTTGATTCCAACAAATGATGTAGTGAAGATTTATTAAATGAGTACCTACGATGTATGGATGTATGGATTAATATCCAATGTTGTAGCATACTCTTTTTTAAATTGTAGAAATATAATTGTGATTTTTTTCTTTGCATGGACGGTAATTATATTTAGTGCAAGTTAATTAAATGAAGTTAATTTTTTAATAAAATTCATTTAAGTTTTTTTTTTTTTTTTTTAACTAAAATGAATGATGCAAACTCGTACCATTTTAAATTCTCCACAATTTGAATGACTCATTAACTTTTGAATACTGCTAAATTTCATGTCTATCATTATTTATGCAGGCAATTTTGTAGGAAAGTTATTAGGAAATTTTTAACATTTGAATTTGAATTAAAGATTTGCATGAAAATTATTAGGAAATTGTTAACAATTAAATTTGAATTTAAGATTTTTTTGTATTTTTTTTTTCTGCTTTCCCTATAAGTTTGTTAAAGCAACCATATTTTATTTAAACTTCTATCCCTTCCTTATTTAGAAATTTTGAAATTTGTTTTCCTTACTATATTTAGTAAATAGTAATTCTTTTTATATAAGTATAGATGATTCTAAATAAACTCTCTCTGAAAACTACGTATTTTATTAAATAACAGTTCATGTAAAAACATTAAAATAAATAATAATATTCAAATTGAAATAAATTAATCCCAAAATCCACATTGCTTTATTGACATGATGAAGTTTGGTGTTTGGACTTTGGACATGAGAATGTTATCATCCTTCATTTCTCTGACGTCAATTTAAATCCGTGCCCGCAAATTCTTCCTCAATATTTTACCTGATGGAGCTTTAGGAATTTCATCTATGAAAAATACACGATGTATCCGCTTGTACGGCACCACCTGTATCAAAAACATATATGTCCCATTCTATAAAAGCCAAGATAAATTACTTCGATTTGGGGAAATTAGGCAATTCGTTTTAACTTGCTTGTGTTATGTTGGAGTCTATAGCTATTAAATGAAACGAGTCGTTCAATTTGTGAGCTCGATTAATTTATTATGGTTAAAGGTATAAATGAGTCAAGATAAACTCGAGCTTTTAGATGCACGAGCTCAAGCTCGAGCCTTTATCTAGCCAAACTCTTGGAAATTAATATTGACGATCTGAACTTGAGCCTTAAGTAAGGCTCGAACCGACTCGATTTAGGACTTAGGAGATTATATTTTGTAGAAAAATTTGGATATAGTCAACTTAGGTTCATGACAATACAATACCTGGTTTGAGATGTATTGCTTGATTTCGTGCTCCGTGATGTTAGAACCAATTGTTGGCACTACAAATGCAACTGGAACTTCTCCTGCTCTCTCATCCTTCTTACTGCAATATTTATTTCAACTTATTATAATTTTTTTGTAACATCGTATTTAAATAAAAGGAATAATAAATTGTATAAACCCACAACCTATATTAATATACTAATTAAATAAAAAATAGTAATGTTACCGGTTAGAAGGCTTAATTGTTCGGTAATCATACTGTTCAACAGATTTTCATACTTTCAAAATGTAATATCATATTCTAATTAAAGACAATATAAATAAAATTATGACATTTATTGTATCGGTATGCATTTGTTATTAAAAAGATATGATAGGTCCACCCGTCTAACGATCAAGTTACCTCGCACGATAATTTGTAAAAAAAAAAAATATACGTTTGTAGGAATTTCATATGCATTTACTTAATTTTTCAAACACGAAATTAAAAGTGGTGAAAATTGGAAATAACATACGGCAAAACTGCAGCGTCTGATATGGAGGGATGATGAATTAGCAAAGCTTCAATCTCAGCAGGTGCCACGTGGAACCCTTTGTACTTTATGAGTTCCTTCAACCTGTCCACGATGAATAGTTCACTGTCGCCGTCCACGTACCCAAGGTCGCCGGTGTGTAGCCATCCTTCACCGTCGATTGTTCTCTTGGTCGCCTCCGCATCATTGTAGTAACCTTTTTTTTACATCCATATAGCAATCAAACATAAGTGTAAAATCACCCAATTTTATAAAAAAAGTCTACCGCGTGAGCAATTTAAATAATAAGGTAAATAATTATTCCTCCAATCACGATATTTTTACGATGCTACTGAAAAATTAATTTTAATAATTTTTAATTTATGAAATTCTAATTTTTAGAGTATGGTAGATGTTGGAACTCACCAATTAAATTGTAGTGAATCCACTCACCATGAGATTATTTAACTCAATAAATAAATTACATATCGCACTAATACATTATAGGCGCTAATTAAATAAAATCATATAGAAAAAGAAGTATCTAAAAAATTTTTCAAACAATAAATCTTATTATAGTCTAGACATACATTTAAGTCTATAAATTAATTTTATTTTAGGGCAGTGAAAAATATTTAATCTAGAAATTTTGCATTTATATACTCAAAAAGTCTATAAGTTGGCCAAATTAAATTAAATTTAATCTATAGAGTACTACTACTAGTACCTTTCATGACAGAATTTCCTCTGACGCAAATCTCGCCGACGTGGCTCCTGGAAAGAGAGGCACCGGTCAAAGGATCCACAATTTTGAGCTCCATATTTCTGATTATAGCTCCACACGAACCGGGTTTATAGTCGGATGGGTTTTTCGCAAATCCTGGGCATAGTGATATTACGCCGGTTTCTGTCATCCCATAGCCCTACATAAAAATATTTGTTCCAAACAAAAAAACAAAAGAATTTGGAATGTTTTTTGAGTTTCTGGTTATATAAGGTGACACAATCAGTAGTTTTAAAAAGCACACAAATGCGAAAATAGCACAAAATTACTTAAAATTTAGCATTTAGAATATGTAGTTATATTATAAAACTAGTACAACACGTGTATACATGGTGCTTGCTAAATTTTTTTTTCTTAAAATTTAAAATTAATGAAAAAAAGTGGTTGAAAATTTAAATACTTTTTATTAAAAAATATATATTATTATATATTTTAGTATGACACTTGTTACTTGTGCGACTTACCTATGTTATATTATAATAATTTTTCTAACTTATAACATAAAACTACATTAAACATAAATATATTAATTGAGAAATAATTTTATGTTTCTAATTAATTTTAATAAATAATTTTATTGTTATTATAAAGATAATTATAATTTATTTATTTCATATACACAATATGGATGTCAAATCGAAACTCATCAAAAGATGATTAATTTGATATATTATATATGTATATAAAACCGATAAGAAACACAAAAGTTAACAACTTTTAAAGTACATTTATAATTTAATAATTATAATGAAAAATGATATTAAAATACAATTAATACATATAAAATGATCATAAATAAATCAACATATTTATAGTAATCTGAACCTAATTATTTTCTTATTGGAATTAAATTAAAATCTATACAAGTCAAACAATGAAACATGAAATTTTGACACTTAGGATCCCGAAACATGCGAGTCTGCCACTTAAACTCAGCATATTCGAGAATTATATATAGAGGGATTTCACATTTTTTATTTAAAATATAAAATTTGAATATTCCAGTTTATTCGAATAAGTCGAATTTTTCGCTCCTATATAAAACTGAACACTTCCAGCCAAAAAAGAATTATTTTAAAAAATATATATATTAAGAATTGGCCCCACAAAAATACCTGACCAACAGTAGCGTTGGGGAACTTCGCGCCGACTGCCGCTTGAAGCTTCTCATCCAGCGGCGCCCCGCCGCTGAGCACTATCCTCACCGACGACAGGTCGAATAGCTCCTCCTCCGGCCTCTTCGCCACCGCCAGCAGCACCGGCGGCACCAGGGGCACAATCGTCACTCTATATTTCTGAATTAGCTCCAACATAACCCCAATTTCGAATTTGGGCACCACCAGCACGGTGGCTCCCGCCCTCAGTCCCAGCAGCAGCATCGACAAACCGAGCACATGGAACATCGGCAGTACGCAAAGCACCACGTCACCACTCCCCACGCAGCAGCTCGGATTCTCGCCGTCCGCCAGCTGTGCCGTGCTCGTGATTAAGTTCCGGTGAGTCAGCATCACCCCCTTGGGAAGGCCCGTCGTGCCGGAGGAGAAAAGCAGCGCCGCCATATCGGAAGATCGGACCTCGACATCCGAAACCGATTCCCCGTCAGATTTCGTTAGATCTGAGAACTCGACGACGGCCACGTCAGCGCCTAATTCCCGAGCGAGGCGGTTCGCCTTTTCCAGGTACGGAACGTGGGTGACGATTAGCTTCGGTTTGGATAGGTTAGCTTGGGATGATAACTCGGCGGCGGTGAATCTCGGGTTGGCGGCGGCGGCGGTGGCTCCGGCGAAGGAGGCGGCGAGGAAGGAGACGGCGAAGTCGGGGGAGTTGTGGAGGAGGAGCATGACGACGTGGCCGCTGCGGACGCCGAGGCGAAGGAAGGCGGCGGCGGCACGGCGTGCGGCGAGGCGGACGTCGGCGTGGGTGAGGGTTGAGCCGGTGGCGGCGTCTATGAGGGCAGGTCGGGTGGCGTGGCGGGGAAGGTTTTCGAAGAGGTATTCGTGGGTCGGGAGATGGGTCGGTATGTGGATGGTTGGGAGTTTGGATCGGAAGATGGTTTCTCTTTCGGTTTGGGACTCCATTTTTTTTAGCGTGGTGAGTTACGTAACTTACGTTGTTATAAGAGAGTGACAAATTTATAAGTTAGGAATGTAGGATTAATTAGATTTGAGTGAAAAATATCTAATGTTTTGAACGTGGTGGGAAATGGGAGTGGAGTTAATTGGGTCGATTTCAATTTTTTTTCCTTTTTCTTCGTAAACAGACTGAATTAATTTGCTTTTATAATCTTATATATGTCTATTACTGATAGTTATTTTTGGTAAAATATTCGCACTTTTGTCGGGTATGGTTTTTAAAATTATATAATAATTTATTAAATTAAAATGCAAATATATTTAAAAATTTTATTTTATTTAAAATAAAATATATTTATGATGTGATACATTAAATCATTCATCTTTAGACAAATTTCAATTTGATGTCAATATTAAATATATAAAAAATAATAATTATATTCACCTTTATAAATAAAAACTAAGTTAATTATTAATTCTGATTGAAATATAATAAAATTATTATATATTCATTTAATATACTTGTTTATCAAAGCTAATATATAATATGTGCAGGAAAGTTTATTATAGTGTAGGCCAAGAGAGTCATCTTACATAAAAATAATAATGTAATTAATTTTTTGAGAAATATTAAAAATTCTAAAAAGTATTTAAATATTTTTACCATTAATTAAGACTTGTATAATATATGAATGATTCTTTACTAGTAGTTCTATATGTTAGAAGATAAAATAAGGAAAAAATATTTATTTGGTCATGTAATCTATACTTATATTAAAAGGTATATCATTTACCAGATTTAGTATAAAAAAAAAAATCAACAACATTTATTGCATTACTATTTCCGTTTTATACAATCTATACTTATATAAAAGGAGATTCTATTTACTACATTTACTATCCAGAAAAGTCAACTGCATTAAATGTCATTACTATTTTGGCATTATAATATTTTATTTATTTAATTAATTTATTTATTTGTTTTATTCTGAAAAGGTAAATATAATAAAAAGATTTTAATAATAAAAAAATTAAATACCAAATAAAAATGTACAATTTGACTTATTTGATTATATTTGGTATTTGGTTATACCAAATATATTCCTATTTAGTATATACATTAAATACTTACTAAAGTATTTATTTGTTTTATTTGTCAAAGTTAAGTATAGATTTGTTTATATTATCAAATCATAAAAAAATATTAAATCCATATTGTAAAAAAAATCATATAATTTTATAACAATTCTACTACACTATTTAACAATATTTCTTTTATATTATATAATAAAATAATAATTAAATATTATATGGTGAACAACAATAAGTAAAACTGTTACTTTCTCTTATATCAAGGGATAAATTTATATGCTAAAATTAAATTTTTATTAGCATAAATGTTTTAGTAAGATAATATATTAATTATTTTACAAGCTAGCCCTAACATGCTCATATTTAATGTTTTAAAAGGTGTAGAAAAAAAACTTATAATAACTCTATTGTTTTTTAGACTTAAACGTTGATTAAAAGAGGTAAAAGTTCCTAATTTTTTAGACTTAAACGTTGATTAACACCATAGATTGAGAGTTTATATTTAATAAAATTCCTAATTGTAATAAAAAAAATTAATTTTTGTTATATTTTAGAATATCTTTAAATTCATTATAAAAGAAAAAAGAAAAAAAACTACAATGAAAAAAGCAAGTCAACCATATATCGATTTGTTGTACTCCTCAAATCACATTCACAATTTGGCTACAAGGAAAGGAATCTCATTGATTAAATATTATTTTATCAGTAGTCTTAATGTACAAGAGACTTTAAGACTCCACTTGAATATTATAAAACACTTATTGAACATTGTACAATTTTCTTGCGTATTATAAACTTTTATTGAATATTGCATCTTATAATATAATATTCTCCAAATAAATATATCTCGTGCTTCGCACGGGTCACGTACTATATATATCCCGTACATTTTTCTTTATTCATGTATATAATTATAAGCCTGGATAAATAGCCTTAAAATTGTGCACCCCGTGCATCGCACGGGCTCTGTATTAGTCATATTTTATACATCTTTTTTAATAAGTTCAATCATTAAGTAATTTATACTTTCTCAATACTTTATTAGGTAAGTTTAGTTTTATGAATATAAGAGCATCTCCAATGCTCCACTTTGAACATTAATTAAATTTGAACACATGTCAAATGATGAATGGAATGTAAATACATGTAATATGAATGTCAAAAGAGAAGACTTTAACTTGGAATGCACATCTCCAATGCATCCCTTTCAAAAGCTTAAAATAGGTTAAATTTTTGATGAGTTGACTTTCAAACACTCTTTGGAAAACTAGAAAGTGAGCTTCACACTTTGGATGTTTATTATCTCCATGTCAGCATAAAAGAGTCCATAACATTATGGATTGGAGATTAATTTTTGTTTTTACTTTATAACTTGATGATGTGACTAACATTTTATTAAGTCAACATCTCACATTGGAGATGCTCTAAGTAGTTTATGTCAAATAGTAGATAATCTTTTAGCTGCATATTATTCTTTTATGAATATTGTGTGAAACCTACCTAATGTGTGAAACCTAGAAGAATTAAAGTTTTTTTTTTATTATTATTGTTAAAGAGAACCATATATATCATTTGGACTATTGGATAATTATCCAAAAAATTGTATTATCCATGAAAATGTTTATTTAAGACTGGGGTTTAAACCTATTACTACTACTACTATTATTATTATTATTATTATTATTATTATTATTATTATTATTAACAACAACAGTGTGTCCATGCTACAAATAGACGTAGCACATTTTGTGTAGTGATTAAATTTCAATTATTTTACATTGAAAAGATGTGTAGCAAATACACAGTCTAATACAATAGGTGGTGGGCGTGGAAGATAAGACTTGAAACTTGAGATATTTTACAAAAATTCTATTTTTGTCTGGTTATTTATCCAAAATCCTACTTTAGTACATTAACTTTTTTTTTATAAAAAATAGTACGTTATATTACAATTTGTGTCATTTTTTGGACATTAATTCTACAAATGGTACGTTATTTTTTAGAATAAATATTCTAAAAATGATACAAATTGCAACATAATGTATTATCTATTAATAAGGAGAAAGAAAGTGCACTGAAAAATGATTGTAAACAAATAAACGGACCAAAATTAAAATTACGACTTACAATCTAACAATAGGACGTGAGTTGAAAGTTGAAGCATGAGATATTTTACACAAAACTAATATACTTTTCACAAAGGGAATCTTGTATTCCTTTTCAGTTTAGAACTCCATTTTTAAGACGGTGGCGTTGTTCTAATGGAGGAAGGTCTTTGGGTTGAATCTGCTGCCATAATAATAATATTATTATTATTATTATTATTATTATTATTATTTTGTTACAAAATTTTAGCAAATATCTAGGTATTTATTGAAAAATGATTAAGTACCAACAAATATTTTACCAATAGACGAATTTATTGTTATTCTCTAAGTATAATTATCCAATGGTTTTATCGGATGACACAGTTTATAGAGTCATCTATACTTTTATACAAATAATATATTAACACGTGTCTTATAATAAATACACTTAGAATAAGTATTAATATATCAATTTCTAGATGGCTCGATAAATGGGTGATTGTTTATAGATTCAACTAGTTTTTATTTGGTTTGTTTTTTAATATAGTTAATTTTGAAAAAAAAATGTGGTATGGTTAGTTGATAATGAATATGTTAAAATGATTTTAAAATAAAATAATTAAAGTTGATTTGATGTAAACTAGTAGAAAAATGATTCAAAGTGATAGTTAGTTAAAATTATGTGAGTGGATGAATAATGAATTAAAGTTGATGTAGTGTATAAGAATGATTGGTTGATATTATTTACTCATATTAGTAATATTAGGGATAACGAATTTGGGTTAAAGTTGAGTTAAATTTGAGTTTTGATTGTTTTTTTTTAACCGTAGAAGCCATATTCAATCGCCCCTAAATTATTCATCCACGTGCTCGATAGGATTCTTGTCTTTAAATAGTCTTTAGGCAAAACGATTGACTTACAAATTTTTCTCTATGTGAAATTGATGTTTATTATAGTTTGAGTGATTTATAAGTGATCATCGTGTCACTTGACAAATTTATAAGCTAGGGTTAATTAAATTTGCATAAAAATGCCTAATCTTTAAATATGGTGGGAAACATGTACTCACAGAGAATTAATTGTGTCAAGAGTTAAGTAGGAAAATTTATTATAGCATAGGACAATTAATTTATTATAGCATAGGACAATTAACATATAAATAACACGGGTATATTATATTGCTAGTACATATATTTTATAAAAGCAAGTTAATCCCTTCTTTATATGAGCCTCTATCCTTATGAAAAAAAAAAGGTTTATTTGGTCCTTGTGGAGACATTTTATATACTTTTTTTCATTTTTTTTTTATTTTTTTTTATTTTTTTATTTTTGGTAAATAAGGATAAGAAATATGTAGTTTATATTTTCACAATATATTAATAGGTATTTCTGTATAAATATAATAAGTAGTTTATGTAGAACCAGGGGCGGACGCAGACTTTAAGTACAACAGGGGCACAAACTACGGTCAACGGTCAATACTGGATGTCAATGGTCAAATTAATATCAATAGTTAACCAATTAAAAAAAATAAAAAAATTAAATATTGACTAGACACTTTGTTCCCTATTTAATAGTTAGAGTTGAGTTTCATATTCTCGTTTTAAGAATAAAAATACATTTGATCCAATCCCTATATAGTATATACATTTATGTATAATATTTATGTATTTTGAGAGGGAAAAGAAAATAAACAAGCAATTGAGTATAGCATAAGCATAAATTTTTTAACTTAAAAAGTAACATACTATTGAAAGTTAAATGATTCTAAACATTTCTTTTTTATTTTTTATATTAACTTAACTTTGCATAATAATTAATAACATGTATATTTTTATGTAAAAATAGTAATACATATATATAACATATATATACTATATTATTGAAAAATTCTGTAGGGCCCGTGCCCCTACGGCCCCTGTGTAGAGTACTTTTGTTGCAGAGTACTTTTTATGGAGATAGATTTTCGTTTGTGAAGTAATATTTGTCCTTTAATAAAATTAAGTTTTTATTGATTATTATAAAAATAAATTATGTTATATGGACTAATGGTGAAAGTGATATAACACTAGTGGCATGATTGGTAGGAAGGAATGACATAGGAATGGAATGATCATTCCCTTACTTATTCCTTATCCCATAATTGGTATATTTTTTTGAAAAGGAATGACCATTCCAATGAGAATGGCAAAATCATCTTCATGGGATTAGCCATTTCATAGTAAATGGAATGTTTTCTCATTCCTCTGTTTGTATGTAATACCCCGTTTTATTTTAAAGAATTTTTGAATTTATTTATAAAAATCAGAGTTTATTTTTAGCAAAATTCCAATTTAAAATTTTACTAATCAACGGGCGCTACTTAACTACCAAAAATAATTAAACAATTTAAACAGCTATGAAAGATCTACACATGTATAAAACTAACAGTTCAAGATAAAATCCAAAATATTCATAAGTCTCAAACCATTCATGCATAATCAAATACTTCAACAGAAATTCAATGGTATAACCAACATGTTCAAAATAAATAAGGCGGAAGCATAATTATTCCAAGTTAAACAAATGGTCTATCGAGATACTAAAAAAAAGCGGAAGCACGCAACACACAATTCCAACGACCACCACTCGATCGTCTCTCGCTACCGCCGCCAACCAATGCTCAACCTAAAAAGATAGGAAGAGGAACAAGAGGACAGAAAAGTAAATGAGAGTGAGTAACCATCATACCCACCATTACCGCAGAGTATATTTCGCATAAAGATCTATAACTATAAATAATGTATGCATAGAATCCAGATCTAACTCCCTATTAGGCCCTATCGCAAACCTCCTATGTACATACAACAAACCTTCCGACCAGACATCAGCAAAGATGTAACTGGAAACACTCCCACCCCGGATGCAACGGGCATAGGATCTTATCCAGGAGACAATGGAGTTGAATTACCCCCCCGCTCTACACGGATTCGGGCGTTCAGACATTCTCCTCCACTCTACACAGATTCGGGCGTCCACCTCCCGGATGCAACGGGCAGGTGACCTCCACTGATTATGCATTCGTCAATGGCAGTACCGTCGGGACACTTAGACTAGGGTTCTCACGCATACAAAAGCTATCGCGACAAATATTTATACGAAATAACAAGTGAGATAAATGTAGATTCAACATAAATGAACCCACCTGGTAGCAATCGAGATAAATACAAAATAAGGGTAGGCGGCGAGCTCGACTTGTCAAGCACCTACATTTATTAAAATAACCTTATCAAAGAATATTCGAAAATTACTTAGTCCAACTAAGTTCACGTAAGCATTTAAGCATGCATTAAATCAAGGGAATCACATTTCCTAAAATATCACGTAAGTTTTTGAAAACTTGACCCGGGCAGCGTTTTTAAAACCGACATAACTTTCAGCACACAACTCATATGAACATGAATCAAGTTGCATTGAAATTCTAAGACATTAATCTACAATTCTTTTTAAGATACTGAAAGAAAATAAGGCCATTTAACAGGTGCTAAATCAGCAAACTTTAAAAATAGATTCACAGTCCAAAACTGGGAAAATGAACTTGACCAGAATTCAGTAATTGCTAGCTAACTGGAGCTACAGGCATGTTTTAAATGACATTTAAAAACCACATGATAGATAACTCAAATGTCTATAACTTTTCTGAAGACCACATTGGCAAATAATCACATTATCAATGAGTTTAAACACAAAACATGTGATTGAACAAAACTGTCAAAAACTATTATGTGATATGGACATCACCTCAGATTTTATCACTTATCTTGAGTTACAAACCTCAAAATGACATGGTTCAAGACTCAAATTAAACCTTAGGCATGCCTCTACAACTTTCATTTATAACATAGAAGCATATAAGATCATTTGGATAGGGTAAAATCAGTTAACATTAAATTTCAGATTTCTGCCAAAATGATAAATCCTATCTCATGTATATCTAATTTCACAAGACCACAACTCGAGCTACAGAGCACATATCAATATGAAATTCATCTCATTTGAAAGTTAAGAAACATACCTACAACTTTCATGAAGATCATAAGTTCATACGAGCACATTACGACATGAAAAACAGGTCACATATTAAATATACTTATGCTGCCGGGTAATAGGAAAAACTGGACGCACAAAAATCTTGTAAAAATCATAACTTTTTCGATATAGCTCAGAATTGAGAAATTACAAAGCCTAGATATAGAAAACTGAACATACTACGTTTTACATGAAGGTCACAACTTCAAATAATAGGTTTCTGAGGGCCAAAACTGAGGCACAACAGAACAGAAATATTGTGATATCTCATGAAATTCCCAACGTTACTTCACCAATTTAATCTCTCTATCAAGCAACTCATGAAAGCAACATTTAAGAATCTTATAACATTAATAAGGCATGCATAACAAACTGAAAGATTTATTTTAGCATGTTTGATCATCCACTACAACACAAGATTACAAGAACTCG